GATAGTCTTTTCCCTTCTAGTTTTAGGTTTGCAATGGGAATTTCCACATGTCATACACTCAGTCAGCTTAGCATTATCAAGGTAGAATAACATGCAGAAGTTAGGACACATGTTAATTTTCTAGTATCCTAAATCGAGGGGTTTTATTATAGACTTTGCAGTATAGAAGTTCTCTTTCAGCCTGTTCCCTTCACGTAAAATACTTCTTGCCCATTCGATAATTTTATTATAACCAACCTCACTTAACCTGTGATCTGACTCGATAATGAATACTTGTGCTACAACATATAATTTACTGTGATTCGTGCATCATCTCATAATAGTTTGTCAAAATCTTTCAACAAATCAAAAAACCTTGCTGCATCTATATCAGGTTTTTCTTCCATGATTGGACATTAACTAACATTACCTTCATTTATTCTCATTACATCCATAACTATATTCCTATAAAAATTATTATTATCATTTATTACTATTTCTCAGCATGAATGCTTTTATAATGCCATTCTTTTCTAGTATCTTCTATTTTAGGTTTTCCCTCCAAACTTAAAGGATCACTTCATTTTTTAGGTGAGGGTTCTCCCTATTCTGCTAGGTTTTTGGATTTTGTAGTGTGTTGTTTTTGCTATTTGATTCCAGTAGCATTAGAAATCCATCATCTTTTGGTTAGGATAACAGTTCATTTTTGTGTTAACACTCATCTCTGCTCATCATCTTTAAGATAATAGAGTTCATCAAGTTGTTGACAGTTCCCCTCATCCAATAAACTTGATTGAAAAATCAGCAACCAAAAAGCTTAAGGATGGTGAATTGGATTATGGATTTCATGTTGAACAAAGAGTATGGAATTTCATTCTATTAGATGTCTGGATCGTGCTCGCATCGTGTACAGCCTCGAAAGAAATAATTAAGCAGAGATTGGAAGTAAATACCGAGCTGAAAAATGGCTTGAATACTAGATTTTAGATCATGACACCTGGTTCGGAGTAAATTGCCAGCTTCTTTCCGTCACTTAGTCCTAGCTAAAAAATAATATAAAAATCATTATTGAGATTTCTAACTAAACTTTCAAGAATCTAAATAAAATTAAGCAAGATGGTTATTTTTTTCCTTCTCTTTTGGTTGAACTAGAGTGGTTTTCTGTATGTGGGCCTCAAGTTTCAAATATGATAGCCCTTTACCCCGACTGGTGGGCTTTGTCAATTCTCTGTTGCTGTATGTTAATGAACTCAGATCACCCATTATTTAGAAAATGGAAAGCTCTTCTCGGTTTAGAGCTGTTTATTTGGTTTGTGGTGTTATGGAAGGTGAGTTTTTCCTTTCCCTTTTATTAAAGAAGTATTCCTTTTCTTGGTCTCTTCTGCGTTGCCATGCAGAATGCTTCTTCAGCCATGAAGTTCAGAAATCAGACATTCTATGGATTTCACAGAACTGCCATGATATAGCAGGTGTCGTGAGCTTGAAACCACAGGCAAACCCATTATAGATTCAAGTTTTTCAGTTTCACTGGAGCACCAAATTTTGATAACATCATGGGCTTTGAGAACTGCTGAAGCGAAACGGGGGTGCCTCCCTTATAATAAAGATACTATACACCAAGTTTGTTTTCTAGATGCTGATTAAATGCTCTGTTAGATGTTTTAATGGAGTAATTAAATGCTTGATTTTGTCTTCTTGTTCACTCCTTTGACTAGATAAGGGATAATACGGAAGAATCTTTTTCAGCTGCAGGTTGGCTATTTGTCAAAAGAAAGGAAAACAAAAAAAAAAAACAAGTCATAGCTTATATTGATATTGAATGGTTGCAGGTCCTATACGCACACTTCCAGTGGCCTGCCATTTACTGCTTCAAAATTTGTTAATGGTGGTCTTCTCCCAAAAACCATCCCCATATAAAGTATAAGCCACTTAATGAAGCCCCTAGGTGTTTAAACTGCGCATATGACACAATGTATTATGAAAAATATAAAACAAGGGTTTCTCAAATATTTATAATATCAAATGTATTCTAAAAATATGCTTTCAAGTTTAAATTCTGATTAAACCCATCTAGGTTGTGATGGAGAAAATAAATCAAAACAACTACAGAAATAAAAATAATTATATGAAAATAACTAGGAATATAAAGAAAATCTCAAAACAACATCTTAATTTTGTGTTTAGTTTGGATATTTTCCCGATCGTAACTAACATTAGAGGTTAATTTCTTAAGGAAAAACATGATTGTAAAATTTTAATATGACCCAACAATTAGATAAAAAAAAATTTACTCGTTTTCGTTAAAAATCTAATTTTACAAGGCCATTCTTCTTATAATTAAAACTTTAATCCATACACTTATCCTTAAATATCAGCTTGTTAATGTGCTTGTGGTCCCTTGCATTCATTTTTGAATGCGGGCTCTCTCGTGTTTATGCCTTTGATTTGTGACACGGTTATGTTATATTCCTTGAATCATTCTAACGTATGCATGACCTAGGCTAAATTATCGACTCTGATTTTTTATTTTTATTTTAAGGTTCTGTCAACCTCGCAATAAAGCTACTACGGTGTAGCTGAGGATATGAACATGACTCCCTTGCCATATCTTATACTACAATGTCTTAAATACCGGGTATTTAACATGGGATTAGGTAGTCTTCTGCATATTCCCTATGTTTTTTTTGTAATTTAAAATCTCAACACTGACAACATGAGAAAGAGGGAGACATGAGAGAGATTAAAGAGCTCGTACACGTTGAGTAAAGGAAGGAGGGCTTGAAAAGAAAAGGGGAGAGAGGAGAATTGAATGGGGAGAACATGGACACAAGGAGGGATCTACCAAAATGAGATGATGGCACCAGAGAGGTTGCATGCAGTGAGTGACGAGTAGATTTAGTAATGAAAAGGAAAGCTAAAGAAAATAAAACGCAGAAATTAAAGAGAGTGATGAAGGTGGAATTAAATTTGTATTTATCATCTGACGCAATACCCTTCATTATTCTCAACTGTCTCAATTACTCTTGCATTTATGCGTTTTTAATGGTCTTTCAATCTCATATAGCCACCCTTGTTTGAATGCTGGAACCACCCTCTTCATCCACTTACAATACAAAGCCTTTGGAAGCTTGATGTATACCCGACATATGCGAGACTGTCATTTGAGATGTATATTACTATCCTATAAGGCATTGTGTTCCAAATAAGTATTCATCGTATTTTAAATTTATTTTTTTATTTTTTAAATTATTTTAATATGTTGATATCAATAATTATTTTTAATAAATAAATAAATATATTATTTTAATAATTCTTTTTAATTTTTTTTTTAAAAAATAACCGCAAATACTTTATAAAATAATATAAGTATCAGATAAAAATAGATAAAAATACATGCATCTTAAAAAATAAAAAAAAACCGTTAGAAGCTTCTTTATAGAGTGGAAAACGATTGTGTACATGGAGATAGAAAGATTTACCGTTTCATAAATTAGTCACTTCCACATCTATATATATATATATATATATATAATGGGAGTGTAAGAGAATTCTTCGAAATTACTAAGTATAGTTTAAGCCTTAAGGGTGTAGAATGTATCAACTTAAAGCACCTCCTCTGTTTATGGAGGGTTTTGTGTCATGGTCACCTAGATATTTTATTCTCATTTAATATTCATCAACATAGTTTTTATAAAACTAGCAAATTAGATTTATATATAATAACTTACAAAGTAATTGTTAAACTTATTATAAAAAACTATACTATTATTTGAAAATGTTGACAAGAGTTATTAATATTTAAAATATTATTTTATTTATAGTGATTTTGTTAATTTTTTTTAAAAAAATGAAGTGTAATATTAAAAGAGGCCAAGTGCTGTACCTATAAGGATTATTTTATTTATAGTTTAAACTGAGAGTCTACCATGCTAGGCATGTCCTCATCATATAGTTCAAATTCCAACCACGATTCGTGTTTTTTTTTTTAATTTAAAAAGATATATTTTTTATTTTTTTATTTAAAAATACTTTTTTTTTTAATTTAAAAAAACATATTTTTTATTTTTTTATTTAAAAATACTTTAAAAAATCATAAAAACTATTGTAAACCTATTTTAAGACCAAAATAATATAAATTGGTCAATAAAATAAAAAAAATAGCGTGATTCATAAAACTTCTTGAACTTAAATTTAATTTTTGAGTTCCAAATCATATCCATATAACTTCACATTTAAAACGAATCTATTGACATTAAAATTAGTATTGTTTTTCCACGAATATATTGACATTAAAATTAGTATTGTTTTTCCTAAATTGTGGTTGACTAAGTATTTTTTTTCTCTTTTCTTCTTATTTCCAACCGCTTTTTTTCTTCTTCCATGTTATATAAAAACTAAAATATAAACAAAATAAAATTGAAGACTAGCGCATAAATTTATCAAATATGTAAAAAATAAAATTTCAGGGATAAATTGTAGTTTCCTGTGTCTCTTGAGCAGTGAAAATAAAATGCTTCATTCTTTTTTTGTTAATTTTGTTCCTTGTTTTCTCAATTTTTCCAATAACAAATTAATATTTGTTTTTATAAAATTGATATTTAATTCACATATTAAAGCACTTCTAGTTATCTTGTGCATGCGGTGTAAATAAATATAAATTATAACGTACGAATCGATGTAAACATCTGGTGTGAGAATGAAATAGCAAAGAGGATCATAAAAATAACATCGTGCCATCCGCGATGAATTTAGACACGATAAAAGTGTTCTCTGTTTTAGGATTTTTTTTTAATTTTAATTTTAATTTTAATTCCTTGCAACACAAAGATCACTTGGCCATTTTATGTTGGACTCGAGTCATGCCCACTTCCGTCAACGGTAGAGTACTTTCACAAATCTTAGTGGGAACTGAATGACAAGGAATTGTGGGTGCGGCTTGCCGTGTTTGGATTCAGAGTACTGATATCAAACCCAAAAATAGAGAGAGAGAGAGAGAGAGAGAGAGAGAGAGAGAGAGAGAGAGGACATCAGAGAATGTAGGCATTTGATAGGAAAATTTGGGCAGCAGCTGCTGTTAACTCGTTTACATTCTCTTCTGCTTAAAACAGAAGAAACAGAGATACCACTCTGTGCCCACATGGTCCATACTCTGATCTACGATTAAAAGAGATTGAAGCAAAAGAGAATTAGTGCTTTTGGCACCCCGCTTTTTCGATTTTCATACTTAGCTCTTGTAACATGTAATCAAGTAGCTAAAAAGTGGAGCGCAAGTACCACTACCTTAGATAAAAAGAAGATCATCGAAAGAGGGGAGGGAGAGAGTTTATATAAGCCTAATCAACAGTAGCAGAGTTAGCTAAAAGGGGAGCTAGCACTACCCTAGCTCTTCCTTGACTTCATGGTGGTGGTGCTGGTGTTGTTGTTATCATGGAGGAAATCAAGCAGCCATGTACTCTTGCATTTGGGGCATTTAGGGTCATTCTCAGAGAGCATCACATACATGAGGCACCTTGGGCATCCCACAAGCACCATTGATGTAGCTTCAGGGCTACTAGAATATCTAAGAGTGTCATCCTGGCTCATCTCTGACGACACACATGAGCTTGGAGGGGATGTTGGTGACACTGTTGCCAACCGGCCTGGGGACTCCGCTCTCGGGTTCACCCTAGGTGGTGATAGGTTGAGCTTGAGGTCAAGCTTTGGGAGGCTACCATTTCTTCGACTCATCCTTGGCGTTTTGTTTTTGTAGTATATCTCACCTGCCTGAGAAACAAAACACAAACAGAGAGATTAATTCAACACACAAACACTGCTAAAAATCTGGACTGAATTTGTCAGAGCTTAACAGAAAGTGTTTTGCCTAGTAGAAAGGTCACATAAAACTAAGTTATGCCATGTTCAAAGGAGTCACGTGCATGCCAAGGAAGTTTTGCCAACCTGAGGGGAGAGGAGGGGGCTCTTCCAATTCGATTTGCGTAGAAGAGAGATTGGTAGTATTATGAAAGAGATCAATGGAGAGTGGCTAGGCTTGAATCGAGACTCGCACCTCTAGCACCATTAACATGAACTTGGTGGTGGTTGGTTTGGACATCTCAGGCCATTATATATAAGGAAACAAGAGGAGAGAGGTGGGGTTATTTTAAAAACTTACCTTAATGGTGGGAGAGAAGTGGAAGGTGTTGAGAGAGAGAGAGAGAGAGAGAGTTGCGTTGAAGTATCGGTAGAAGAAGAGTGTAAATTGAGGACAGGAAATGTATTAATGAATGGAAAAATCACAAGGAGTAAGCAGAAATGGGAAGCTTGGAGTAAATGTTGCCATTACAAAAGTGCAGCAAGAATTCATTTATTCATTGCTCTAGAGGAGGAAGGGTCGGTGTTTTAAAGTGCAGTGTGAGAGCAAATAGACCACACATTGCTTTTAAGGCTAATTTGCTAGAGCCCAAAATCATTTTCAAGAAAGAGCCATCACCACCGTAGAATTTAATAAAAAACACCAAGAAATTAAATGTCAACGGAATTAAAGGAACTATAACAGCTAAACCTAATTTAAATAGCCAACTGAAATTTAAAGAAAAACAAGGAGAAATTAAATGGCAACACCCAGAAATTACATAGGAAACACCAACAAATTAATTAGCCACCAGAGAAGAGAAGGGAAATAAATAAATAAGACCTCTCCCTCCATCCCTCCCTTGTGTGACCTGCTTTCTCTTCAAAAAGTTTACTGAAATATCAGAATCATCCTTCTACTTTACTGTATTTTCATTTCCCTTAATTAATTAATAAATAAATACTACCATTTCATTCTATCACTCAAATTCTAATTTAATTTGGGCAGTTCCAAATGAAGCTAAAACTTTTCACATAGAGTAAATTATTGCTGATATATTATGTTCCTATTTGTTTTTATATTTTAAAAATATTTAAAAAAAATTAATTTTTATTTTATTTTTTATTTTAAATTAATTTTTTTATGTTTTTAGATTGTTTTGGTGCACTTAGGTTAAAAATAGTTTTTAAAAAAATATATTATTTTGATGCATTTCCAAGGAAAAAACAACCGCTATCACCCTCCTAAACACCCCTATAATTGGTTTAAAAAACACTTCTAAACAATAGCCAGTCTGTCTCAATTTGAAAACACACACGAAGGTCAAAGCAAAAATGAATGGAATGCTAGGGCCAGGAGTCAGCTGCCATTGATTGAACATAAAAATAGATATGTAGCTAGAATGCTTCACCTGGCCTATACTTGCAGCAGCAATATTCCATTGCATGTTTTTTTTTGTATTTTTCCTTTGAAAAAAGGCTCAAACTTAAGATAGTAATATGATGAATAAAAATATAAGTCAACTGATGCAAAGATAGCTTGACTTTGTTTTGAATGAAGGAGATGTAAATCAACTCATGGTGATTGAGTTTAGGCTTCCATATGGGTCAATCAGCCTTGGGAATGTTCGGGAGCAAAAATAGATTGAAGTGACCTTAACACAAGAGGTTAGAACCTTAAATTCTAGTTAGGCAGAAATGATAAAAAGTCTATAACATAAAGTCTCACAAATTTGAAGAACATAGCAGCACTGGCTAGGATATATTACTAGTGTATTTAGGAATTGGTTGTAAATCATTTTATTTTAAAATATTATTATTTAAAATAATTTTTTTATATTATTAGATTATTTTGATGGGTTGAAGTTAAAATAATTTTTTTAAAATAAAAAAATTGATTTTAATATATTTTTATGTAAAAAATTATTATAAAAAATTATTATTATTATAATTCCAAACTCAACCTATATAAATTAACCTGTTAAAAATTTATCAACATAATAATGTTAAAAATAATTTTTTAAAATCATTTATCAATATAATAATGTTAAAAATAATTTTTTAAAATTAAAAATTTTATTTTAATAAATTTTTAAATAAAAATATATTTTATACAATATATAAAATATTTGAATCAACTTTCTTAGCCTGGTAGGGCTTTCGATTTATAATCTGTACACTGTCCTTTTGGGGCCTTGGACAAATCAAATCAACGTCTCTTCACGCGAGAAAATAAGAGATTCGCTGACTGACGCTCTCATGTTTCCATAAGAAAAGAAAAAAAAAAAAATTGTCCTTGTCGCTGTCAATTTTGTTTGTCTCTAGAAGGAAATCCACTCTTTATTAAAATCCATGCACTCTTTATTAAAATCCAGCATGGTTTAAAAATTATGTTGTAGGTTTTAATGGAGTCATTAAATTTTAACTGGATTTTCAGATTGTTTAGTTTAATTTTAAAAAAAATTAAAATAATATTATTTTAATAAAAAAAATTAATAAATTGCAACTGGATTTTTTTAGATTGCTTGGTCAATCTGTTGAATTAGCCGGGTTACAATAAGTTTTTCTTTCTTTATTTTTTCTTCAATCCTACTAAATTCTAGCTCTGGATTAGTCGAATCCTGCATTAACCCGTCAAACTAGAGCATATTTTAAAACTATGCTATGTATCTTCACTTTCATCGGGAAGAAAAATTACAAAATAATTAATGATAATTTCAAATATTCTTGGACTTTCGAATTTGACGTGCATTGTTCATTATCCATATACACTAAATATAATATAAATTAGAGGTTATTTATAGCCAATCTTTTAAAAAATAAAAATTAAAAAGTGATTCATAATATTGTCTTTGCAAATAAATAAAAAGAAAACCAACACAAAAGCATTTTATATTAGTGAATCAAGAAAAAAAATGTTAGAACTTTTATGGAAGACTTTGTATTATATTTAATTATAAAATTGAATACGCAACTCCATTGAGGTAGAGAATAACATCCATAACTTGATTAGTGTTTTTTTCTTGTTTTTTTATTCATATTCATATCCATTAAAATAAATAAAGATGAACTGAACTACAAGATATACATGAGATTATGCATATAATCTATTAAACGATATTTCTTATCATGTTTTTAAATTAGCTTTTTGCTTAGTGATATATTATGAGTAGATTTATTTTTTATTTAGCCTAAATTTTTTTTAAGACATTAAGAAGTTACAAATTTGATGTATGATGACAGAAACACTTTTAAAATGCTTAAATAATAATATATTAAAAAAATATTAAGATAACAATACATTATATTAACATAAACTAATAATAATTAATTTGTGAGACTCATGATATAGGGTGTAAGATCATAATAAAACCATGAAATCTATATAAAAAAATAAAAAGCTCAATTATAATGAACCAAATATTGAAGGTTGAAAGCCAAAAAAAAAAAATATAACTAGATTTAAAAAAAAATAGAAATAAAATGACCCGGGTAAACTTATATCAGTGATCGACACAATACCACGGGTCATGATACAAATTTTTAGACATAAGAAGAAAAAAGTTAAGGCAATGCTATAATTTTTAGAAAAGTAAAAGAAATTTAAGACTTGGGTTATTAAATTGATTGAGTTTAATGAGTTTGGCTAATTTAATCACATAAAAAAGTAACCTTAATTTAATCTTCCAAAATCATAACTAGCGAGGTCTTAAACTCGGGCTTAATCAAGAAGCTAAATTCATAAAACCATAAAACAAAAAATCTATTTGTGTTAACCTATTAAGCTCGTGACTCGAATCATTTGATCAAAAGTGTCAAATTTTAAAAATCTCAAAGCTCAATTTTTAACTAACCAAATATTGAAGTATGAAATTAAAAAAAAACTAATCAAATATTGAAGTATGAAATTAAAAAAAAAAAGTCAATCATACAAAAGTATAAATTTTCTTTTAGTAATTATAAGCCAAAAAATTATTGGGAACTACATCTTTTCTTGCTCCTCAAACATAAAGTATACTTACTCCCAACTGTTTCTATATCAAATTGGTGTCCATTTCACCATTCTCTTATTGAGTTTCACTTATTGCCTCTACTTCATGCTTTTCTGCAATCTCTTCCTTCTTTTGAGTTTTTTTTTAAGAGATTTTTTCTCTTTAGATTCTTTTTCTTGAAACTCTTCTCCTCCTCTATAAAGGACAACAATGATGATAATGAAAATGAGGCATTCATAAATATGAAAAAAATATCTCTTGTACCACTTTTTTGCCAACCAAAAAAGATAATATTGATAGTTATCAGCAAGATTTCAAAACACATTCTCTTAATTTGAATTCAAACAAGGAGTATCATTATCTGCAATAAAAAATCTTCAAATTAGAGAACATCCCCACACTTTTTTAGTAGAGGTTATAAAACCATTATAACATTATATAATCTAATCACTCCTCCAACTTTTTATTGATAATGACTTGCTTTAAAAATGTCTTTCAAGGAATTTTGTGTTCCTTTCCTAAAAAAGATGTAAAATCATGCCACACTTTTTTTTTTATTATCTTCAATAGAAATAGGCTAGCTATAATAATATTTAAATAAGTCAACAATAGGATTTTAACATTTAAGTTTTAGGTATTTATCAAAAGTTGCTATAATCATCTAGACATTTAGGTGTAACTCACCTCCAAATAAGTTATAGTGAGATGAATTATATCTTTAACAAAACCAGATAAAGATAGAAATACACAAGTTTAAACATGATTATATATGTTGTGATCTCAACATTTCTGGTTGCTATCTTTGGTGTTCTACTTAGTCTTTCACAAGGAAGTGAAATTCTAGAATTATATCTCGTTCTCATGTTAGTTATCAGCTGATAAATAACATTATTAGTTACAATTAGGGGCGGAGTGAAGTGGGGGCAAGCAGGGGGCCGGGCCCCCTGAAGAATTTTTTTTAATTTTATAATTACATGTAAAGTGTCATAATAGGTTGATGAAAGTTTGAAGACAGAGAATCCAGCTTTTCCAAAAAATTACAAGTAGGCTGTAAAGTGCCTACATGGAAAGAAAAAAAATATAAAGTGATCAACATCTTTTTTGGTCTTTTCATTGCCTATAGGTTTTAAATACAACCCTAATATAAATCGTTGTAAACGCAGCCGATCAAAACAAAAACAAGAATAAAGATGCACATCACAAACATAATTTTTGTGTGGAAAGATTGAAGTAGAATTGTTTAATTTATCTTCTCGAAAACAAAACAAGGTAATTGAATATCAATAATTCAAATTTAAAATATATTTTTATTTTTATTTGAGATATTTATTAAGAATTTGATGAGATTATTTTATAATTTTATATTTTTTTTTTCAAATTTGCTAGTTCTAACAATTGTTTTTTGAATTCTTGTTATAGTGATTTTTTTGTCTAATTAATTAGATATATTTTATTGGTTTGTTTTGATTATGCATGTATTTTTTTTATGTTTTGTTTTTAGTAGAGCCACCAAAATTATCAATTTTTTCTCA